TTCCAACCCTAACTATTATATGATTCTATAAAGTTGTTCCTTACTGAGAATCAGAGTGTAACAGCTCTGAACCCTCTTATTTGACCAGATGTAAAAATCTAGATAAAATGTATCTATAGCACTCCTAGAGGTCTGAAGATAAGAAAATCTCATAATTACACCTGATGCTTCTAAATGTGTAATTGACCAAGCAGTAATGGAATGTCGTGCACCCAAAAAAATTCCACCTCAGTTTCATGCACAGCTCTGTCCATATTTCTATATGATGCTTGACAAATCATTCTAAGTGAATTCTGGCAGGCAGCTACTGTGTGGTATTTCTTCCAGTGGACACAATTTCCACTGCATTTCAATCTTCCACTTTTGACATAAAATAGCCTGACACAACAGAAATCAGAATACACAATAGTACTGCCCTGGATATATCTTGCTCTTCAACTGTGTATTATATAATCTGACTTGGAAGAAAGAAAGGTAAGCCACAGACAAAAAGCTTCACACTGCTGTTTCTCCACTCATGGATTCCATAGTCAGTACAGAAGAAGATGTCACCTTCTGGGAAGAGAGATGGGGCTAAAAGAGGGAGGCCAGAACTCTCATTAATTGTGAACTTACTGCTGTCACAAGTGAAAGGCTTTCTGTACTTAAAACACTATTCTCTGCAGCAGAGGAGTAGACAAAGCTTTGCAACAAGCAAGCAATATTTCAGAGAAAGAAAGAAAGAATGCTGATGCTTCTTTGACTGTCTCTTTATGAATTTAGGTTACATGTGACCTCCAGTCCAGGGGCTCTGAACACAAGACTAACCTGTGGCGCACTGGCACTCATAGCCATTGGGATGGTCGATACATTTGGCTCCATTGAGACATGGTGTGCTGGAGCAGTCATCTATATCAATCTGACACACAGCACCACTGAATCCTGAAAGGCAGAAAAAAAGATTAAAATCCAGATGTAATCTGAAGTAGTTAATCTAAACATCTGCACTGTCAGGAATTATCTGTTAGCAAATCCTTAAAACCACCCAAATACAAACTCAGTAAATCTAAACTGCATCATTAAGCACACAGACCACGCCCTGTGTGGATTGGTTCCTCAGCCAAACCACCAGCCGAAACACAGTTTCTATTCTCCAGGTCAAAGGAGCCTCAGCTTGAAAAGTGAGATGGCCAAGTCAAACAGAAATAAAGCAGATGGAGCATACGTAAGTGGTGTCCACCAATGGACAGTATGCCTGTCTATAAAACTGAGAGGCCACCAATAGAAACTTTCAAGTAAACAAAGCAAGTAACTTAAAATGAAACAACAATGCATAAATCACTAGAGTATTCAGACTAGAAATACTACAGCAGTGTGGAATGTGGTACAATACAGCACTGTATCTTTCAATACGCTTCTTGAAACACAAACAAACTATCAACAGGTTATGTCAGGTAATGCCGAGCCTCAGTCACTTCAACAAAAAAAACAAAACACTCTAGAAATGTTTCTGGAGGAAGGAACCAAAGGAGGAGCCAGAACATCATTAATCAGTAAGAAGGGATGCAGAGCAGGCTTTCATCAAGTATATTCTGAACTCAAGACTTTTTGTAAGCCATCAGGAAAACAAGTGACATTTACCCTCCAGCTAACATTGATCCCTCAGCTCAGCATTTATCCTTCTTTTCTAAGGTGGAGTCCCAATCCACCTCCTTCCCCATGCGAGCAACAAATTATACCAATAGAAAAATGGGTTATGCCTAAAAACCTCAGAAAAAGACAAAAAGCACACGGATGTTCTGATTTTTAAAATGTATTTAGAATTACTCATCTCTATCTCACTGCAAACCCCACAGTAACAGAAGTTCATGCTGCTAAGTACTCTTTAAGATGAGGCATCCTAGAGTATGTTTCTCAACACAGTTACAAGCACAACACTAACGCAACCGATACATGTCTATTCTCACTAAAACAGATGCTGCACTAAGAAAACAGAATCTCATAAGAAACACATCACCTGCAATCTTTCCCTGGTTATCTATGCAGTTCTTGGTAAGGTGAACCAGCAAAAGCTTCCAGAAATAAGTACTTACCAGGAGGACAGACACAGAGGAAGCGATTGACTTTATCAAGACACTCTCCATTATTCACACAGGGATTACTCAGACACTCATCAATATCTTCTTCACAGTGAACACCTTTAAAACCTGTTAAAAAAAGAGAAAAAAAGTAAGAAGAGGTGACCGAAGGCCTTAGAAGGTGCCCTTCAAAGTGTGACTGCCTTTTATATCAGTGCTGAAAGTCTAAGCCTAGATTCATTGCAAGTTTGCAGTATGGACAGGACCTATGAGGTAAGTATATACACCAGAGGTTAAAAAGGGATGTTGAATGTGTGTTATTCACTGTTGTTGAACATGCTAACTTAACCAACAGTAACAGAAGTTTGTGCTGAATTCACATCTAATTTTCTTCCACTTGATGAGACAGGGTTATGTTTTAACACTTTCGAAGATATGGATATATTTGGGTATGCACCAACGTAAGGTAAAAGGTAAAGAAATGAACACAGCAGATAATTTTAGCTTAAAGCTTTTCAGCTAATGACAGAGCAAAATAAAAACATTAAGAAGGGTGAAATACTTGGGACTAGAGTTACACTTTTCAAAATAGATTAGATATTAATAAAAACTCATTCTAATTTTCATGATAGCAGCTGATCACCTGCAGGGGTCACAATTCTTTCATTATATTTTATAAGACTCTGCAACTTGCACCTTTTTCTTTTTTTACCACTTTCTCTTAGAAATCAAAATAGCAGACTACATAGCTCATTGGTATGCTGGACATGTACATTTTACAAGCATGATTTCAATCAACTAATGTTCTTCACAGTTATTTATTCAGGTCAATAAGAGCTTGCAACATCTGGGGTATTTTAAACAAAAACCCCAAACACTATCATCCAGAATCACCACCTATGTATCTCTCAGAACACAGTCACTCTTTTAAAGTTTGCACCTGCTTTGCTTTCACAAGCATAAGTTTCTGCACAGGCACTTTACCAGGTATAGTAACAGATATGTTCACACATACTCCAGCTCAGAATGCTAACTTCCTTTGCTGATGTAGAGATTGGTTTCTTTCTCAGTCCTCTAATTGCTTTCTCCCTCCCACACAAAAATGCCAAGTCCTGGCTGGTGCTGCCATAGCAGGCTCGCTCTCACCATCTCATTTAGCCTCACCCCTTTGCAATTTTGTGTTCCACCTCAGCATAGCTGGCAACCCTTCCTGTGCTCAGCCTTCCGATTTCTTCCTTTGCTAGAAACCCCATCTTTGTCAGAAACTCCCCTTACCTGGCATACAGAGACACGTGAATCCTCCGATCTTATCCAGGCAGGTGGCATCATTTTGGCATGGATTCGAATGACATTCATTGATGTCCATTTCACAGCGAGGTCCTGTGTAGCCCTTCAAACATTCACAGTGGAAAGAACCTTCTGTGTTTACACATTTCCCAGCATGTTCACATGGATTGCTATTTGCTGCAAGAAAAATATATACGTGTGTGTCAAAACCTCCCCTTGAAGCTGGAAAGCCACTGCATTCTTTATTAGTCATGGTCTTTTCAGTGGTCATTCCTTTCTGGCAAGTAATACTGGGGAAAGACTGTTCATCCTTCTTGGGAAAGGCTATTGAGATTGAAGAAAACAGTTACTTGCCTGTCAGAGGTAAAAAGAAAGATTGTTGTCATTATCGATGGACCAAAAAGCAACTCCAGTCCATACTACTACTGATAGTTCTTAAGAGGAGAGTATCAACTAGCAGGGATGAGAGAATGAATGATGCTTTCAAGGCCTTATCTAGATCATCTTTTAGGTTTACATCACTCCTAAGGCTGACAAAACGCCACACAGCCACAGTACAACCAAACTAGTCCTTCACGTGCTGTCCAAGGCAAACTGAGGAATGAAATCCAAAGAAGTGCTTCTTTCCAACGCTTCCATGAGTACTGGTTAGGCGTTACCTTCATGCATCTAGAAGAATGAACTAGCACTCATGGAACTATAAGCAAGTCTGTGGGATTCCAGCTAATCCCCCAAAACACCACAACAGCATGATATCAGAGAACTACAGCTTTAAAAATCCACATGGTCACCAGTCTCAGAAAGCATTCAAAAGATCCAGCCATATTCTGCCTGTCAAACAGCCTTGATAGATTTCTACTGAGGCAGGAGCTGAAGCAACTCCCACACGAATTGTGGTAATTTCATTGTACACTGCGGTTCTAAGGGTCAGCTTATCACATTTGTTTTCATGCACTCCTCACACAATGCTAAGGCCCTCCTGCACAATGAAGAATGGTTAAGCATCATGCTGCTTTTCATATTCCAGAGGCTAACAGTTCAAACCTGAACAGCTATCCTGCCTACGCCCTTTGCCCCAAGTCTCAGACAAGATTTAAAACTTGTCTAAAGACACTGAAATGGAAGGAGGGGAGCAGGAAAGAAGTAACACTTAAGTTGAGAAGCTATGACAAAATTCATATTCTTGCCCCACTGTTAGTTCATAAAGCAAACTGTCCAATTCCCTGTCCATGTACTCACAAATAACAAATGGAAACTCACCCATTGCACATTCATCCACATCCTCAGTGCAGTCTGCTCCCTTATGGCCTTGAGGACACGTGCAGATATAGTGTCCGTTCACAGGATTGGTATCACACAGAGCACCCTTCTGGCATGGATTGCTAACACATGCATCATCCAAGTGGCACAGAAGACCTGGAGAAGCATCCAAAAAGTTTATTAAAAAAAGTGAGATATAGCAGTCAGACAATGTTACACAATCAAATCCTCTGTCCTGATATATCAAATAGAGACTTCCTCAGCCAGAAGCTTAAGCAATATTTAACAGGCTTCAACCTACAGACTACTACAGAGATCTCACCACACACCTAAAACCCCCTTATATTTAAAAGTAGATTCTGTAACTTCAGTGGTGACTCCAGCACTGCTGGAGGAGTACAATGGCTTACCATTACCAAAATCTCCTCCTTGGAGCAGTTAACTCTCTCTTCTCTCTAACAAGCATGATGATTTTTCTGACAGCTGAAAACACAGCTGCACATGAATCTCACATTCTTAATTCAGAAATCCTGATTGCTTGTATTTCCAGGTAGTAGTACTTAGAAGAACTTTATATTTTTACCCACCCTACAACAGCAAATTTTCCTCTATACCAGTAAGGATCCTCATTCACACAAAAATATTTAAATTTGCCTTCTAAACTTCTAAGTACAATTATCCTAAGTGGCACAGAGCAAGTCACCCTCACATATAACTTCTCAGGCAAATGCAGGTTCTGCTAAGGGCTAGAAAGAGATCTGCCTTCCTTGCAATCTAAACTGTAAAAAGTTTGTCTTCCAGTCTAATACAAATGCTTCTTTGTCCCAAGCTACAGGGGTTTAAAAGGTCTTTGCTCATTCACAGCACATGTTTCCTTTTGTTCTTCCTGGTTTGGTCACAAAGTGTGTAAAATAAACACACCACTTTAAGCAAATGCATAAACTTCAGGAAGTGTCTTCTATTAAGTGTCAGACCTATGCAAGTTTTCTGCCCTTACCTGCCTTTCCTTCTGGACAAATGCATGAAAAAGAAGCCACTCGATCAATGCAAGTAGATCCATTAGCACAGGAGGCAGTGAAGCAATCGTCAATGTTCTTACTGCAGTCATCCCCGCTCCAACCATTGACACAGACACAGGCATAGCCTCCATTGTGGTTGGTGCAGGTACCTCCATTCTGACAAGCGTTGGGCTGGAGCTGACATTCGTCAACATCTTCAGTGCAAAACTGGCCTGATGCACAAAAAGAAACAAGTTCAACAGAAGTTCAAACCCTACAACACAAAAAGATTCTTTTACAGAAAACATAACCAAAGGACCAAACATAACCAAAGGCGTCCTCAACATAAGAAGGACATGGAGCTGTTGGAGCAAGACCAGAGGAGGGCCACGAGGATGATTAGAGGACTGGAGCACCTCCCGTATGAAGACAGGCTGAGAAAGTTGGGGCTGTTCAGCCTGGAGAAGAGAAGACTGCGTGGAGACCTCATAGCAGCCTTCCAGTATCTGAAGGGGGCCTACAAGAATGCTGGGGAGGGACTCTTCGTTAGGGACTGTAGAGGTAGGACAAGGGGCAATGGCTTCAAAGTTAAATAGGGGAAGTTTAGGTTAGATATAAGGAAGAAGTTCTTTATAGTGAGGGTGGTGAGGCACTGGAATGGGCTGCCCAAGGAAGTTGTGAATGCTCCAAGCCTGGTGGTGTTCAAGGCCAGGTTGGACAGAGCCTTGGGCTACATAGTTTAGTGCGAGGTGTCCCTGCTCATGACAGGGGGCTTGGAACTAGATGATCGTAAGATCCTTTCCAACCCAAACCATTCTATGATTCTATGAAACACTGTAGTCCAACTTGATTGATGCATTATTTCTAGGCCATTCAAGCTTAACACTTCCAACACCACTGTCGTCAAATTACACAAAGACAACCAGCATCCCTAGATGACCCCAAAGCAGGAATTGAACTGCAAATAACTTTTAAAAGGCACAGTGTGAGAGCCAGCAGGTAACCTGTAGTGTATGAACATAGACCTGCGAGGATTTAAGAAGCAGAAAGAATAAAGGCTGCCTGCAGCATGACCCGAGGGATTCTGAAGAGAGAAGATGGCCTCACAAAAAGTCTTGGCCAAAGCAGTGTCAACAGGCCAGCAGTGAAGTAACTCTTGTCAGAACTTCATTATTTTCTCTATAATTATGCAATGAAGATTACTTGATAGGTAAGCACAGAATTCTTGAGACTCTTCTACCTAAAATACTCCTTTTCCTTCCCCCAGGTATTTCCACAGACAATGCTAAATATTTCGGGTTTTCTTGGTTGTTGCTTTGGGGGGCTATTTTTTTTTGGGGGCGGGGGGTGGGTTCAGAGACAAAATAAATATTCTAATAAACACTTTAATGACTGAAGGTACTGGAGAGAAGAGAAGAAAACAAATGTACAACGTTTCAGAGAGTTTTAAGGAAAAGGACCACTGGCCCACGAAGTATGAAATCAGTTTCATGGGATACTGAATTTCACAGTACAGGAAGCTCTTCAATTCATGTTTAGTAAAGTATTTATCCAAATCTATCTTGCTTTGACATCTAGATCTGGAGAATTTACCTCTTGTAGCAATATTTTAACACTTATTCATCTTCCCAATTTTAAAATTACATGGTTTAACACTGAATTTTTTAGTGTCAATTTGAAGTAATTCATTCTTGTTTTGAGTTTCTTGAGCAGAAAAAAACCCTAATGGCTAAGCAGCAGCTAATTTCTTCCCAGGCTGTCCACAATTTTCTTTTCAATAAGCTACTTCTCCCCTTTCTGTTTTGTTAAGAACTCTATGGCACTGAAACTTGAAAGCTTGCCTTTTTTTAACACTTCCTTATAACTAACTTTTACCACCCTTCCTAAAATGTTGATATGATGTACATGGTACCAAAAGTTCATCCTTTATCAGAGACCAAGATTAGATTTGTTTGATGTGATCTTTTTTTTCCCACCATCTCCAACTGACACCATCACCTCCCTTACTAGCTTGCAGCAGTTTTCCATTATTTGGGTCAAGACTCTTAAGTTGCTGTGTTCCTACTACCAAGATCCTCCCATTTGTCACCTCCAGCTACTGTATCAGCTGCATACTTACATTTGCCTGTTATTCCCCCATATTCCAATAGGAAATTCAAGAACAGGCTACAGATCTTTCCCGCCAGTTTGCCTGGAATTCAGTTTATTTAGGTTTGCCAACTTAAAAACTCTTATTAGATGCTGCTTAACAGTCACCTTGTTTATTAATAGCCTAGGAATTCTGATGCAAGAGTGTACACTCACTCTCCTCCTGTACACAGAACTGAAACATTTATTGTTGGCAGGAATGTAAAAAGGTTCAGTCTTCACCATTTCCGTCTATTATACTCAAATCGCAATCCCTTTTGTTTTCAAAGTACTTAAATAAATTGTAGCCTTCGGTCCCAAGAGGCCTGGATTCTTTTCCCTTAGTGGCAAATAAAAATAAACACAGAAATAAAAATAAAAAAAAATAAAAGAAATAAAAATAAAAATA